TGAAGACTATATCACATCCGTTTAGCTCAAAACTGCCTAGCGCCCGCGCTCCGTATACAAGTTTTCATCCTACATCCTTTCATCTTTCATCCTTTCATTGATTTCGGTGAGAAAGGTTATGCCCCAAATCGGGTCTATAAGCGCCAAATAGCGCCCGGGTAAAAAAGAGCGTGTAGTATCTGTGATCAGGGCCAAAAGGTGATGCCGCCTCTTCGCGCAAAATCGCACCAACGTCGAAACGAAAGCAATATTTGTGAACAGAATGTCAAAAAAAGCCCCGTATACAAGTTTTCATCGATTTTGGTGAGATCGGTGGCGGCGCCAAGCTCGCGCCTGGCGGCGCTAGATTGCCCCAGCGCTAAAAGTGCACATTGTACTCGTGATCAGGGCACTGAATAAGCTCTGTGGGCAAGGTTTCAGCAAAGTATTTTTTTGAGCTTCTGGAGTAGTAATAGTGGAAAAGTGTCAGAAAACCAGACTGATTTCGCAAGACTGCGGCAGTAAAGGGTAAAAATAGTGCCATTTTTTATCGTCTGGATTGACATCACCCTATTTTTGGGGTGTAAGACGTACCCGTCTAGAGGACGTACCTTCACCTCTAACGCCACAAGTTTTGGCTTTCCTTTTGTGAATCATTTGGTTGGTTTTATCTATTCGAATAATTCATTGACTCATGAGTAATGACGTTTTTATCTTACGTAAAGTTTACTACGGAAACTGATAAGGTTTCTCAATGTGTTCTATGCACTTGATAGATGATTTTCTGCTCTACAAGAAGGTGTGCTCAGTTTTCTATTCCCTCTTGCTTTCCCTGATTTCCAATTGATCGAAAAGTAATGCCAGGTTAACAAAAACATAAATTTTCGACACCACCTTTTTGCACAGATTTAGACGCTCAAAATGCAAACGCAGCTCGAAATTTGTGATGTATATGGCCAAGGAGTGGTGCTGCTTAGGACGACTGGAAGTTGAGTCGGACGATGTCGAGATGACAACTTCGACCTCGTGAATAAGTATCGTGCCCTCCTGGGGGAAAAATGCCTGCAGAACATCCTCTTGGGACATCATCTTGGGGAGAGACTGCCATGTACCACGTTCCTTTCACTGAAGTTAATCAGGGCGTGCCAGCATTTCGTGAATTTTGACACGCCACCAGCTCGTTTTTCCATCAGTGGTAAAGAACTCGAGCGTTCAGGTGGTGGGAAGCGACTTACGCCGCGCCAGTCTTTCATACTTTATAAATGACGCCCCCCCTCCGCCCGATCTCCCCCCCCGGCCTCTCCCCCTGAATCAGATAATAACGAACCGCAACCTCCAGAACACGTAAGAACTGTGAAATAGATAAAATTTCTCTTCGATACTGTAAGTCTACTGTAGTCTACCTTTTCGTGTTCTCCGATTGTCTTTGCATCCTCGCTTCCATCTGCTTCGTCGGGCGGCTCCTCTTTCACCTTCACTGGAGGATTCTAAAACAGCAAGTATGAAATCTATCGAAACATGGGCACTGGCTCGATCTGTCTTCCTGAAGGCTTCTCTGTGAAAAGTGACCGGAATTACAGGTATGTGTCACCTGAATGTTTCATTCATTCAGCTAAGAGGCGGAGCAGTGGCAACTAACCCCGCTAGTACACATAAGGGCCCTGTGTAAACTCTTGGACTGAATCCCACCAGTGTCCATCAAGTCCCTCAAGCCTAGGAATCAGCAATCGAACCCTCCATGATTTTCAGGCGCCAGAAATGATAGTGTCAGCCAGTTGAATATTCAAAGACTTCCATTATCTTGAAACGGTCGCGTCACATCATGAAAACAGGTCAGTGAACACAGAGCGTATGCTCTGAAGCCACACTCCAAGTAGATCGTTTAGGCGGGGACAGTAAACCACTTGCGTTCTACTCACTGACCGCCCTCCTCCTTCCAAGATTTCCCGTAGAATCAGCCTGGACTGCTTTTCCAAACTCTGCTGTACTGCACCCACTTTGAACGTCAACGTTTTCTTCTTGGATGAGTTCTATGCCAATCAATCATCTCAAATAGGGGGCAGTTCAGCACGTCTGAGCGGGTTATAATTCATGGACACCTTTAATCACTGCTCTTTCTCTCTAACGACAACGCTCGGACATAGCCTAGAATTCCCCGAGAACGCAAAATGTCCTACAATTACAGTCTCTTAGGCTTGTTTCGGCACTGATTTACTTAGGAGAGGAGGGGAAGGGGGTACATCTCGCACTTTCACTGGCTCTCACGTTGGTGAGAACTGTAAACTTTATGAAAACGCGAAGTGGTTCAAGCGAGTCATTTCAGCAACAGGAATTTACAAGCCTTCACAAAGTGGCCTGTTCAAGCTTTGCTGACTACCACGTGATGTCACCCTCCAAGCCAATTTGCGCCCTTTTCCTATGGAGAAGCTCTGCAAATGAAGGGGAGGCTGCAATTCTATTTGCTGCCCCTTCTCATTAAGCGTAATCGAAAGGTCTCTCGGAAGAGGTAATCAAGAAGCCGACGCAAAAACGTCTGCTACTGCTGGCGTGAGACAGGTCAAAGCGCATAATTGGCCCAATTATTGCCTATCCATGTCACATCGCCAAGCATATCCTGCATTTCTGCGCTACATTCTCATCGGTTTGTCCAGTCGTCTCGATGTTATTTTTTTGTTTTTTTTTTCTTCGGATGTGCCCCTCCAGCAGCAGCGTTTTGCAAAATTCTGCAACTGAAGGGGAGTGTTGCAGCAGTTTGCAAGAGCGAAATGCTGCAGTGTTTCGTGCTTTGTGGCCTCGTGAGTAGAAAGGAGGGGGGGGGGAGAAGAGGACCTTAATTTTTCCACAAAGTGGCTTTGACCAAAAGCTCCTTCAGCCTTTCTCAGGCGACCAGTATCTGAACTCACACTAGACTCACAGTTGACGTTTTTTTCTTATTCCAATTTAATGCTTATTCGTCAGAAAATTTTTTCAAAAATTGCTTACACAGCTGAAAATAAATAGGTAAGCAAATAAGTAAGATATTATACGCATTTTGTTATCATTATGCAGTGAATTTGTGGGTAGATATTTTGGTGCAATAGTTCGTGCGCATTACAGAAATCCTAATTTTGCACAAGAGGACGTTTAAAGCCATGAAATGGTAGGATATTATGCTGCACCTATTTCTCCGAACAAAAATAGTTTTTTTTTCAAAGTAAAAATAGTTTTTTTCATTGAAGTATGAAGGATAAAGTCTCCATCGTCGATGAACCCTCTTTATGATACAAGTCAGTGTTTTTGTTCTCCCAGACGTATCCGATACCTACCAAATCCTTGGAGTGTAGAAGGTTTAGCTGACCTGGACGGGAGCCGATCGGGGATTTGACCCCAGACAGCGCGTGGTAGCCCAGTTGGCACTACACCACCTCAGCATTATTCGTTGGAGGGGGATTTCCTATCCGGAACGTGGGCACAACTTACCCTAAATGTTTTCGTTTGAATGTTTATGATATTCTGCACCGGAATACGCCAGACTGTTGGAAAAGCGCCCTATACTGTTACCATTTTGGCCTCGGGACAAAGCGTACTCGTATGAAGACCGTCATCTCAGTGATTTTTGCTCGCTGTGAAACATTCATCGTTGCTAGCGAGGACTCTCCTCTTTGCAGCTTTCGCTGCTGCTTTTTTAGGGTGACTCCCGACAAATCGATAGGTAACTTAGTTGGGCGGACCTTTACTAATGGGACTAAGAGCTGCGAAAATGTCTTCTCATTCCGCCTCATTAGCAGTCTATGTTTTGAAGCTGATTCAGCTGCACTTCCAAAACCTGGAGGACGCGCCCCTGCATTTGTTTTTTTTTCGCCTTTTGGGCAACATATAGCTATTGCCGGAGCTTCGTTTTGTGGTTGATATTGCTAAAGAGTACTGCACTTATACGGCAGTGTCAGCACGACCCCCCTACATCCCTACCCAAATCCCGTCATTTGGTACAACCCCACTTCCCCACTATCTCAACACTTGAACCGCCCCTGTGAATCATGGATTTCAAGATAACATACCGAAATAACTTCATCATTATGAATTTCTGCACACCACTTAGTTCTTCATAGCTGGGGGGGGGGGAGCTAAACTCCATATCCAGATGATGGGTAGGACAGGGCGACATACTTCACTTGAATGTGACGGCTGCCGCGCTTTCGGAAACACTAAATGAGTCTCTTTTTGGGGACAATAGTAACTATGCCTTTGTCCATCACAAGACGAAATGGCAGTTGCCTCAAATTGAAATACCTCACGAAAAACCCATCGCTCGCTATGGTGAGATGACCACGTCAGGGATATGGGATGTACCTACTTAATGTGAAGTTTTATTTCAACTTATTTATCCTATTTGTTTACTTGGCTACTATTTTTTTCATCCACCTGTCAATTATCTTCTTCTTTTATCGGCGATCCACTGTTGGAAAATTTTGAGACGACCTCAAGTAGCTTTTGTTTGGCCCAGTCTTCTGGACTCAGACCTGACAGGCGTTTGCTGGTCTCGAAAGGTCAACTTTGCAGATTATGCCGTTGTTGCAATGTTTATTATACGATCATATCCAATTTCTGACACTTCTATAAACGTCTGTACTACGAGTAATGCGATCATTTTTCGACCAGATGTTCGGTCCACATTCTGCCCCTCCCCTCTTCCTCCTTCCTCCATTCTTTCGTCTTTTGCAGTCTTAATGGCAACCAACAAACTTTACCTCATAATTTTGTTTTTGATTTTTCTCATTGGATAAAAATTTTCAGGAACTTCAGCATGAACGGTTATTCGAACGGAGTGAACGCTAGCCAGGAAAAGCACAAACGGGTACGTACTAGTTCTTGTCATGGAAAAAATAGGGAAAAAAGTCGAACACTTATTCCGAAAGTTCTTTACACATTCGTCTGTTTGCTTCACAGACTACTGGGCATAGGTGTTAAGCTAACAGGCAACAAAGTTGTTATTCGAGCCGAGGGGGAAGATCAGGCGCTGGGGAAGGCGGGGGAAGTGGGTGCCTCCGACTTGCTGTGGGGAGTTAACCATGCCAAAGGGAAGGAACTAAGGGAATAATAATGAGTAATGCCCACGTAGCAGAATTAGGAGAATAGGAGTTTTCACTGTCACAGCAAAAGCAGACATTTGTACTGAAGGAGGGTGTACTCAAGGCAGGGAGAGGCGTGTGAGTGAGAGGGGGGAGGGTGGTGAGGAGTTGCGCCAAACTACGTATTTTTCCTCACAGCGTGCTCTTAGTTGTTGCATGTAACTGTGATCCACCTAATCTTGCCTTTTTTACCACACCTTACCCAACCAGGTACGCGAAATAAATCTAAAGCGGTACATAGCTCGCGCCTAGTCCATACCACTCGCATCTAGGTCAATTACCATCTTGAGCAATTTGGCGGCAGCCCCAAACAAAAACCACCAATCTAGCCAACTAACTTCAAGTTCAATTTGTTGCAGGTGATCGTCGATTCTCCCTATGTCCGCTGTGATGGCAAAGAAATGGAAACGAGATTCCACTACCGTAAGAACCATTTCTCCCATACAGCCGATGGACTGAAAGTGACACCGAAGGAGCATGAATACGTCTTCAAAACACAACTGAAGCCGAAGAAAACTGGTTAGTTGTACTACAAGCACAGAAGACTGGTTCGAAGAGAGGAAACGAAGCGCGCGGTGTCATCCGCATTCCGCTTCTGTTGTGAAGATGCGCGATGGTTCAAACGTTCCTGTCAAAAGTTGTAAGTGACATTCTGGGGCGTATGGGACCTAACACAATGACTGAAGGCGGATCTAGCCAACGAACGCTGGGGCATTCAGGGGGGAGTGGATTCGGCGCGGCGCTAGCCTGTTGTCCGTCAACTGTGATCGCCTTTCAGATTCCACAATGGGTGAAGAGCAGGCTGGCGCTGCAACAACCCAGCCCCACCTGAAACGCCTCATCGTCCGCAGCTAGCAAAACTGTACCATCGTATTTACTAAGCATTTCAGGTGTTCTACTTGTTGGTATTGGAGGCAACAACGGATCGACTTCTGTAGGAGCAATTTTCGCTAATAAGAAACATATGACATGGCGAACGAAGGAAGGCATTCAAACTGCCAACTATTTTGGGTACAATTTTGTTCTGCGACTTGATCAGCTAGACAAATTTCAAGTCATAAGCAGACTAAAGGCTTGTTGGAACCCTCACTCAGTTCAAGTAGATTTTGTTGAGTTGGTATACATTTAGGTCTGTCACCCAGTCATCAACTGTTCATCTCGGATGGGATGGCCAGCAGCAGATCCACGTGCCATTCAAGGATATCATACCGATTCTTTCACCCAATGATCTCATCATCGACGGCTGGGATATCAACAATCAAAATCTCTATCAGGCAATGATCCGAGCTAAGGTATAGATTAGCGATTTATAGGGGAGCATTTTTGGGCGCTATCTGGCTAAGAGGGAGCAAAAAGAAGAAAAGCAGAGAGAAAATCATGGGAAATGCCCTTCATAGAACCCTGTGCTGAACTGATGACGTACGTGCACAAGGCGAAGAGGTGTGGTCGCACGAGTTCTCTGTTGTTGGTATCACTTGTTTCCCTTACCACCTCATTCTCACCATTCAAAGTGGAGAGAGCCAGTAGCAAAACACTCACCATCAGGCAATTATTGGAAATGAACGTTGTGGCAGCCTAGGTGGGCGGGGCGGCAACATCTTCACAAGCAGGTGGCGCCACTCTCGTATTTTTGAGCTGCGAATTAGTACATCCTCCATCCTTGTAGAGAAAGCTATCTAAGAATGAACGCGGGCGCTGCTCTTCAACTGACTTCGATCACGGAAATTTTCAGTCTTAACGGGGTGGCCTGTACAAGATTAGCTCAGTACCATTCAGTGCCCCCACCAAACGAATTGTGTCGTGATAAAATTTCGACACTCTAAGGTTGCAGATCAAGGGATCGTGTAGGTAACATGAGCCTATATAGTTCCACCTCGATATGTGACAAGACAATCGTAACATACCGCGCTGGGCGTGGCGAGCGACGCCGCGCACACGAGCAGATGAGTTGTTCTGCCTGTGTTCACTGCCTGCTGTTTAAGTAATGTGAGGAGGATGAGGAAGAAAAGGAATTTCACTCGGAATGGAGTCTTGCGTCTCCGCTTGGATCCCTGAGTTTCCCTGCTACAATTGACAAACTGACGCACATCGAGAAGCTTGCTGCGTACCGCTGCTACGGCTTGGCCGCGCGCAGACGCGCGTATGCGAGTCACGAGTTGCCTGTCCGTCACCGTGTTCACTGGCTTCCGGGAGAATACAAAATCCGATGGGCGGGTCATAACCTATGCGACTTCTCCTAATACGAGGAAAGCCAGGCGCAGCAAAAAGGCGCCATGACCATGAGTCATCCAATTATGGCGGAATGTATCTTCCAACAAATCTCTTACTTAGTCATCATTACCACACAAGTCTCTGCATGTTAACAAATAGCAGGAGTTAGCTGAAGGGTTGGAAAGCCAGGAATATCTTCTGAATAAGATACTCGAAAATTTTTTCCAGGTATTCGCACCCGAATTACAAGAGAAACTACGACCATATATGGAACCGATAGTGCCAATGCCATCGATCTACTATCCGGATTTTATCGCGGCTAATCAGGGTGATAGAGCAAATAATGTTGTCCCGGGCACCAATAAGAAGGAGCATCTGGAGCACATCCGTCGCGATATTCGCAATTTCAAGGAAAAACATGACTTGGGTAAGACTACCCAACACCTACTCGCCCACCACTCGGTCAAAGGCAGCCGGCATGATGGATGGGGGCGGGCGGTCGCTGCCAACGTCATTGGTGGAAGGGCTGATGGGGTGTGGGAGAGCGCCCTCTCGCAGCTCTTTCACCAATGACGTCAGCAGTGACTGGCCGCCCCCAGAACCCTTTGAACTAGAGAAAAACTCTCACTGGCTTCAGAATGCGTGATTGTGTTATGGACAGCAAACACGGAGCGATATACTGATGTCGTGGATGGCTTAAACATGACGGCTGAACAGATACTCGCTTCTGTTGACGCTAGCGCGGACGAGGTATGACCGAGGGCATGGTCCCAGCAACTCGTTGGGTACTGAACGTCGAGTTTTATAGATATCGCCATCGAACATCTTCGCTATCGCATCCATCTTGGAAGGCGCTCACTACATCAATGGGTCGCCGCAGAACACCCTCGTGCCCGGTATTATCGAGCTAGCCCGCAAGGTTAGTGAAATTTGGCCTATTATTGAATTTGTATTACTATCACCGTGCCATTAGTAGACTCAAAGATGCGGTCCACGCTGGTCGTGTGGGCGGAGGAGTCAAGCGCACTTTTATGACATCCTCACTGATATATCCGTCATGCTCGTCACCTGAGAGTGGTTCATTAGTGAGAAGAACACAAATAGCTGACCATCTCCGCCCATATGACCAACGTGGATCATGCATTCATTCTGGATAACCGTGACATAAAACAATACCTAGGATGATGGAAGGCTTAGTTTGCCTGAGCAGAATTGAATCCAGATTCGGATCCGCCGCGCGCGCGGTATGCGGCAGAAGGCAGGCCACGGCACTGTGCAAAATGTTGGGTGAATAAGATCCCCAAATGTCCCTCTTTGATACCACTTTCCACGAATTTTCGTCCCTTTCATCAACTACTCTTTGGGAAGTGGGACACGGCCGATAAACCACCAGAGTAGTGGTTTTTCCATGCCGCCGACTAGAGAAGTACATGAAATAGGAAAATCAGCAGCTGGAGAACTAACCTCAGGCCAACTCAGACCCCTCTACTCTCCTCAAGCGACCAAATACGACGCTCCGATATGTCTCACGCAAGTATGGTGTGTCCCTGACGCGGCACCACTTGTCACGACAATACACTCACTATTCAACCCTATAATATTCCACAAAACCGCTCATTTTAGCATAATGTATTCGTCGGTGGAGATGATTTCAAATCTGGCCAGACAAAGTTCAAATCAGCTCTGGTGGATTTCTTGGTCAGCAGCGGACTAAAGCCAGAGTCAATCGTTTCATACAATCATCTCGGAAACAACGACGGAAAGAACCTCATTAGTCGTTATTATGCCAGACAAGTGTTCCGATCGAAGGTTCCTTTACTTTAAGGGTAGATCACCCCATCAAAAGCGAAACCAAGCACATTTCAGGAGATTTCCAAATCTTCTGTTGTTGACGATATGGTAGAGGCAAATAAAATTCTCTATCCAACTGGGCAGAAACCTGATCACTGCATCGTTATCAAATACGTGCCATTTGTTGGAGACTCAAAACGAGCTATGGACGAGTATATCTGCAGGTATGTTCGCATACGATGTCCACTCTGGTGTACATGTTGCTGGGAAGCGCGTGAATTGGTTACTATTACCTAGGTACTGTAGCCTGCTGGCCATACTGTAGCCCTTCTGCGGTTACTCACAATCAGTGTGGGCCTGATGCGAATTTCGCACATTTGACCCCACTTGCAACGTATGCGCCGGGCTGCTAACGCGTGAATCTCCCAACGACCTCCGTTCGATAGTAGCTACTGCGCTCATCTACAGGGCTTAATTCTGCACTACTTAAAAAAATAACAGGTTATCTGCACTGGCTTCGACATGAATAGAAATGCAGTCATACTTATGTTTTCAGCATTTTTATGGGCGGACTACAGACGTTCGTCATTCACAACACGTGTGAAGATTCCCTTCTTGCAACTCCTCTCATCTACGATTTGCATATGACAGAGTTACCAGCGATAATTCATCGTGTTGGGCATCCACGCCAGTAAATGCGAATTCCGTCCATTTCATGAGGTAAGGTCGAGTAATAACTAGTAATGAGTGTTAGACGAGCCTTCTGAAACCGTTCCATATCCAACACTTCTCTAAAATATCTCAAACGCGGGCAAAAAGAGGTGTGGAATTGGGAAACCGAGTTGCGAGTCTTTTACTAGGACTTCGCGGAAAGGGGTACCTTAGTATTCCCGTATGCTCTGGGTGCTCTACTCGCCAAAAGGCGAGGCGCCAAATCATTCTAAATAGTTGTGAAGCGAGCGAACGGTAAGACTGCACGATATAGTTTGTACCAGTCGCTTTCCATCCTGTTTTTTTTTTGCTTGCTCGCTTCAACAACTGAAGAAGAACGAACTGGCCGCCAAGCCCGGCTTCACTGACACGCCAATTAATCCGCTGCCAACAATACTTTAAAAGCAGGATGCGCGGGGCATCCCAAGATGGAAATGATTTGCTGATTCTAACCATCACCAAAAAGTCCTTTTTCAGGTGTTGTCTATCCTTTCTCTACTCCTGAAAGCACCAGTCGTGCCACCGGGTACACCCGTGTGCAACGCTTTCATGAGGACAGTTCGCATCGATCACCAAATTAATCACGGCTCTCGCAGGAATCGCCAGCGATACCGACATGCAAATCGAGTTCTTCACACAACTACCGAAGGCCAGCTAAAATACCGTAGTTGTACCGTATCTCATACAGTCGATATCGTCGCAATCAGTCGGGGCGGCGTCAACGAGGCGTAGAATAACCCTCCCCCCCCCTCCCACTCGACTGCACTTTCAACCAATGGTGGCTGGTTCGCGACCAATACAGGAAGAAAACTACCAGTTTAGAAACCGTTACGGGTGGGCTCATTCATGCCTCCTGACGCCGCCTCTTCTCACTGCGACAACATAACCTGTAGGTAATCACGAATAGCTGCCGTTTTATTCATGAATCTATCACTCATATTCTCCGAGCGGTAACAATAGGTGACCATTTTACTCAAAATATCTTGTTTATTGTGTTGTGCCCAAGTGTTTAATTGTGATGCAGGAGATCAAGGACCACCCAGACTCAGACTGTTGAATTTCGGGTCGTCATTTTTGCGACTCTCGACCTTGCACAGTATCAAATATCCGTACTATGGTGACCGAAAGCCACGTCCCACCGCTAAAATATACAAAAACGCGGGCACAAAGGGTCAAAAGGTTAAAGTCCATTTGACATCATTTCACCCTTGTCGCCACCAAATCACCAGCTCCAAGCGCGCAGTTGAGTTTTCACCGTTCAGTTTGAAGTTGTTTTAGAAAAGTCTTTGTTCCTGTGTTATATTCATGTTATAGCGAAGTTTTTGATGACTAGACAACATAATAAAGATTATCACAAGAGTGCTCAGTTACAGGCAAAGTACTGTAGCCAAGACTCCAGCCTGGTTCCCACACTTACGGGGCTAGTCGGCTGACCACTACACCTTCACGGCTATTTTCTACCCTCTCACAATCAGCTTAAAAACTGTATATTCACTTTCGTGGTTTCTGATCGCTGCTGCGAGGCGAATGGAATGCCGTAGCATGCCTCTTTCTGGGGTCAAAAAAGCATGAGAACGGGTTGAAGGGTAGTTATACCCAATTGCCGTCTCCATACTCCGCCCGCGGTGCCGTATGACCAGCCACACGCTCAACGAGCCAAACGCGCTACTTTGAGTGCGCCTTATCGGTTCTGCTACTTGCCTACTCCCTAACGTTGACTGGGTGTTTCGCTACGGGACCTTGGTGAGGATGCAATTGCTGCACCTTAGGGACAGGTACCATCTTCCTACAGCGCCGATCCCGTGTACTTTTGAAAAAAGGAAAAGCAAAGGAAATAGGCACACTAGTGAAAGTGTGAACCACGTTGCGTCTCACATATGGCAAAGGACCGTACTCAAGGGTGAATATTACAGTTCTTTCTCTTTAACAATACACTGATCAGAAACGTCCTCAACATCTAGATAGCAGACAATTTCAAGCCAAGCGAAGGTTTTTCAGCGCTTTTTTTGTCTTACGTGTTTATAAGGCATCCCCCTCCCCCTTTCCAGTTGGCACGCAACCTGCCTCAGGCTCTATGCAAAAACTACAGTACTGTGGTTTGAATTTATTGAAAGTGTTCTTGTTTAACGGGCCTCTGCGCTCGATGGCCGGGAAGTTTAGGAAAAAAACTTGGAATCTTGAAATTAGAAAAAGATCGGCGGGCTAGGCTTGGCGGGAAGTGGGTTGCGCACGGAGGAAGCATCGTTTTGATAACCGCCGCTTCTCCATAGCGATGGCTACACCCTGTCCGCAGTCCCTCATCTTTCAGTGACAGCGACGGAAAAGCACAAAGCACAAGCGCAGAAATGCCTGAACTACCGAAAAAAAAACTTTCCCTGCCCACATTAACTTTATTCCAGTCTGCGAAATCCTTCACCCGAGGGAGTCCGACTCAACGTGCCTATAAAAAATATCTAGGGGTATGGAACACAACTCTTACCGTCGCCTACTACCCGCTTCTTCTTGTACTGCAAGATGCCGAATTGAACGATTTTCGTTTGCTTCTTGCTCGTATCCGACAATCCTACGAGATCTTCGGCAGCCTGTAATACGTCACAAGAGAAGTAGAAACACTATTTCTCGGACCTTTCATATAGAATTCTTGGTTCGCCAGAGTGGGATGGCCGTACGGCAATCCACGAATTTGTTCCCAGAAGCCGCCTGCTGTTGGCCCTTTCACGCATAAAGGTAAAGAAGTATGAGCTACAGGGTTACAGCATCGTTGCTATGAAACACATCAGGGTCGTATTTTTTCCACTGGGGCAGGGGAGTCGAATTTGTCGGTGTTGGGAGAGGGGGGCAGGGCTCGTGATCGTTATAACCTTGCCTGGGCGGGGCGGGGAAGGCTGAGGGGGGTATGACCACACAATAAACTTTTTTTTCCGGTAGTTCAGCTGTTCTCCCCCACCCCCCTCGTCACAAAAGGCAGAAACAGGAAAACCTTGAGGAAATACCGGAAAAAGGGGTAGGAAGGTGGGAATAATGTAAGAATTTTCCCGTTTCACATTGGCTATGTACACCCCCCCCCTCCCCCTCGACGGAAATTTTTGGGGCGAAAAAACTGGACTGGAAAAATGTGGGGGAAATTGGTAGGGAGATGCTGGAGCAAGGGAGGCGGAATGCTAACTAACTGCATTCGGGTGGGGCAGGTAGTCCCACCGATACTCTTGTTCCGGAGGGGACTCGTACCTAGACTACCATTTCGCACATCATGATGCTGTACCCTGTATGAGCTAGCTAATTCAAATGCAGATTTCATGATAACCGCATGGGACACAGAATACCACTGTGCTTTCCTCACTGCTATGCCTCTAGCATCTGAGGTAGCGTTGAGAAGAAAGCGCTATTGAAGTAGTTTTCTGTCTCCGCCCATACGACCAGCGCAGATTCTTCCCTGAACCCGATGGAATAAGAAAAGCTGAACTGAGAACGAGTACGCGACAGCAGCTATCATAGGCAGTAGCGGCAGTGGCTAGGTATCCCTTATACACCCAAAACGGAAAAATTACCTTTCGACGTCGTCTGGACGCTCTTGCGGTTACAACCGTATTCTTTTGAAGATCCGTTATCATCTCTTTACGTGGTTCGGATGCCTGTAGAAATGGCAAATAATTGCAAGCCAAGGAAAGTAAGCTCAAAACGTGACGGGCCCTCATGAATTATGGTAACGGTAATTATTGTAACTACGGTCAATTACGGTCAAACAGAACGATAAAAACGAGAAAGTTCAAACAAACCAGGTTTCCTCTCTGGAACGGTATGACGTCGTCGACTTCCCAAAGAGGAGATCGTGCAGGCTCTTTCCCGGCACCTCCACCACCTAACGAACGCCTTGTCATCCAGCGAAGAAACTCGGGACCATTCCTGATGAGATCGGTCAGTTGTCGAACGACGGCCTCATCATTAACGAACAACAACACCGACGGACCTGAACAGTCAAATCTTAGAACTGCGACCAGTTCATCGGAAGCGTTCTATTTACCGTCTGGACCGACTTCACACTGTCGAACGGGAATGCTCTTGATTTCCTCCAACACCGATGCCAAAACTTCCCATTTCGGAGGGGCTAAATTGTGTTCTACATTTGTAACCTAATAGTATAAGCAAAAAATCAGCGTATACTCCCTGATCGGCCCATGCACTATCGCAGGGTGGAGCTTCTGCTTCTGATACGCTGCAATTTGGACTATCATTGTGGTCCGATCAAGTTCTTGTTCAATATTTGTCGCCCTATGGCTTATGGGAACGTTGAGAGATTCCTCAGTGAGGCGATCGTATTTGATCGCTGGAGGAGGGGGCGTATTTGCACTTGTGGGAACATGTTCCGGTTGCGTGACTTTTCTCATTCTCGCCCGCCGTTTGTCGTACTCGTTTCTTCATACCCACCGGACTCCAGTATCTCCGAAGAAAAAACATGTTTCTCGGAAAAAAAGTGGGATAGCTGAGGAAACTGATAGGAATTGAGTAGGTGGATTCAGGGAGACGGTAGGTAGAATATGGAGGGGGGTGGCGGGAACAGGGGCACATTTTGCAAAATTTTTCCTAGCTTGACAAGGACGTGCCCCTGCCCTCCTCTTTTTGACCTAATGCATGTTTACATTCCTCTACGACCCGGGAGATGTCGTGCTTTGCACCCTGTCGGTAATAATTTTCACAATTTTTTCGTAAGTTGTCAGTGGTTGGTGTTCATCCTCCCCTCCCCATCGATAACCGGAGCTTTGATCGTGAGAACCTTCATGCCCCGGAATCAGAAGTCAGAGCTACAGAGAAGAATCTACTTACAAGCGAAAGGACGTGACTTGAATGCTCCATAGCCACACAACGTTTCGATATCAGCAATTAGTGACGAGGCGACTCGTGACATCATCCATGTTCCGCTACGCTCGAAAACCTGGAACCAGTCGTACACAATTTTGATTTTCAAGACAGCTACAGCACAAGGGAGCATGAATGCCCTGTTCGGCTTAGAGGGGGCATTTTTCCTTTGCGCTAGTTCCTTTTATTTGACCATATTAAATAGCAGCTTTCTTCTTGGTCACACCTGTAAACTCCTCTGAAGCTGCGGAACTGATCGAGTGAACAACTTGGGCACATGATCTTTCAGGTACATCAAGATGGCCCGTGCAAGCTTACCATTACCTGAGCACTGCCCCCACTAAGCCGAACTGCACTAGCCATGCCTCTAGCGCCAAGTTGGGGAATAGGAGAACCCGCAAGAAGCTTGTTAGTTATTAAACAAGTTACAAGAGAGAAATGGATTCTCTCGAAACGCGCCGATCGGCTTCAACTGACTCGATACCTTCCCCTTCTCGCGGATTCTCCAACACATCAGCGGCCCAAATAGGAGCACGCCCTAATAGCTTAGTCTCGCGGAGTGGTACTGGCTGACCTCTTTATCATTTCTGATGGCGTTAATACGGCTCAGTACAGTTGCAGGATCCATGTCTTCTGCTACCTGTAATAGTTCCCGTAGCATGGTAAGGTCAGCCAACAGACGACTTTGCTTGTCCGTCAAGAAGGATCTGGAAGCAAATAATTAAAAACGTTGAACGAGGTAGTGAAAGACGTCAATCTACTTGCACAATAAGGGGCTGCGGACGTACCTCCTCTGAGTCAACTGCCTTTCCAGGAGAGTTGGCCTATAAACTGCTATCTGTATGGTGTCTTCCTCTTGCACATGTACAAGGGATAGGCGAGACCTCTGATCGGTTAGAGAGAAACACGATTGCTTGAAGACATTTCAAAAAATCATTTGGATAAGGTAGTTAATGGGTACGGACTTATAAACGCTGTGTCCCCCTAACTTGTAGGCGTCGTCATAATAGGGTAGAGAAAGGGCGCGGTGAAGGCGCTATGGCTGTGAGGCTCTGCTTCTCCGCCGGAGTAATCCGTCGCAGAGTAAGCCTCCAAACGCAGTTGCCTAACGACACCATATTCAACGCCAACTGTGTTTAGATAGAGAGGTTTTATTCTTTTCAATTAGGTTCCCCAAACTCGTTAACAACTCACTGGTGAATGTGAGAGGTGCCAGAATCATCATCATTTACAGCAGGAGGGTGCAGATGTATGCTGGCTGTTTACAGCCTTGTTCGCTAATGACGCTTGAGCGCAGGGGGGATGGGCTTGGCGCCGCGCCGGCCCATTCACTACCCATTATGGAAGCTGACAGGCGACCACATTCCGGGGAAAATTGGCTGGTGCCACCCCAAACCCAGCTATGTGAAATGCCTCGGCCTACGCAGCGAACAAGACTGTACACACTATGTGAAAACTCTCAGCGGTCAAGTTGCTTTTGAAGGTGCTGAGGACTTTAAAAACTTTTGGACGCGAAAATAGAGGACGCCATGTGTAACTATGTCAAGGCCTTCCTTAGGCTGAAGTGAAAGCGGGTTTTTGTAATGTATCGATTTATTATATATTTATTCCATTATCTATGAGAGTGATTGCCCGAAAAGCAAGCGCATGAGCTTCTTAGGTGATCACTACGAGTGTTCAAGAGTGGTCCATCAAGTCGTTACAGAATGAGCCAGTTCTTAAAGACAGCTCCCGCGATAAAAGTGTCATGGATAGTTGCTTTTCAATTATGAAACAGTAGCTGATAAGTAATTTCCCAAAGAAGAAAAAAAGCAAGAAGAGTCCTCAAGAACACCATAAACAAAATCGCTCCCTGACAGTCACACCGCCTGCGGTCTCTGTGCAACCCCTGGCTCACAAATTCCTTTATCACATCTCCCAGTAGTGGGTATCATCCAATGCAATGAAAAGAATACGAAAAACAACAAAAACACGGAAGAAAAACTCTTGAAAAGGAAAAGAAACTTTCAAAAACTCGGCGTCCGAATTTAGGGTTACGGTAGCGTGCATCTTTTAGTGTAGTGAAGTGCGTCGAGCTTTTGCACCACGAAAATTGGGTCGCTCGTGATTTTTACGCGTTTTACCTTGCAAGATGGGTTGAAGTTGACTGTATGTGCTCCTAATAAATAAAATGTAATAAAGGAGAGGTGAATAATTCATGGGCACGAGCGCGGTCAGCAAAAAGGGCA